GGTTTAGTACCTCAGCCTGTCATCCCAGCACTTTGGGAGGCCAAGGCGAGTGGATTGCCTTAGAGGGTGGGCTCAAGACAAGTTCGGGCAACTTGGCAAGACCTCATCTCTACAACAAAACAATCAAAAATTAGTCAGGTGTGGTAACACGCGCCTGTAGTTCCATTAACATGGAAGGCTGAGGCGGAAGGATTGCTGGAGCCCAGCAGGTCAACGCTGGGTGGCTGTGATTGTGCCACTACACTCCAGCCTGGACAACAGAGTAAGACTCCAACTCAAAAACGAACAAAAAGAAACTCCCCAGCCACTAAAGACTAACATTAAAAATAACAGAATGAGCAAAAGCCACAATCCCGGCCGGGCTCAGTGGGTCAGCCTGTAATCCCAGCATTTTGGGAGGCCGAGGCAAGCGGATTGCCTGAGCCTGCAGGTTCAAGACCCACCCAGGCAACTTGGCGAGACCTTGTCTCTACGGATAAATCAAATATTAGCTGGGCATAGTAATGCACGTCTGTAGTTCTGGCTACTTGGAAGGCTGAGGTGAAAGGATCGTTGGAGCCCAGCAGGTGGAGGCTGCGATAGACAGGAACGTGCCACTGCGCTCCAGTCTGGGAGACAGAGTTAGACTCCGACTGAAAAAAAAGCCACAATCCCATGGACACACCCGAAGGAATGTACCCAGAGGAGGGGGTATCTGTATCTTTATCGTATACTGATAGGGGTTGGTCTTTGGTTGCCACAGAGATGTCAAGATGCTGGGATGGAGGGTGATGGGGATGTGAATGTCCACTTCCTGCTGGTTCCACACAGGTACCCGAGCATGTGGACCCCTCCGTCCTACAAGGGGTGAGGTCACCACACATCACTAAGACAACCAAGTTATCAGCAGTTTTTCCCATTCACCCAGACACTCACCCCTCCTGATTTTGGGGATCAGGCCACAAAAGTGGATTTTGTGCTTGTGAAAGACTGGAAAGGAAGATGCCAGGCACCTTGCAGCCTTTTTGGTCTCCATGGGGATGGATTTCCATGGCTCTGGAATGGCCACTCCCATAAATGCTGCCTGAATGAATCCTTAGGAAAGCCCTGGCAGGACAGAAGTGGTTGTTCCCACTTTATGAGGGGAAACTAAGGCTTGGAGTTAGTTTCAAACAACGTGTCCAAGCCCCATAGCTGAGGTGATCAACTCTCCAGAAAGCACTGTCTGGTACACAGACCTTTCTGCTACAGCCTGCGGACTCCCACATATCTGGGGAAGTTTGTGCATGCTGAGAAATGAGAACACCTACGCCAGTTTTCTAATTTATAAAATACCACTTCCACCTAAATTGATTGACTGTGAACACAAAGGCAAAAACGACTTGTAGGACCGAAGAAGCCAAAACACATGCTACTGGGTCCTGGCTGGGGCACAGCTGGACACACAACCCGAAGCTGTTTCCCCAAACAAGGATTTCTAGCCCCAGTCCTTGAGGGCGCAAACTACTTGGACAGGGCAGGAAAAGGCGAGGAAGAGGGCACCCTGGCTCAGTATGGGAACAGGAGAAGTCCTATACCCCCAGCTACAGGTAGCCACAGGAAAGCTGAGGACTGAGGCTAGAGAGGGAAGGACCGCCCCAAGAACCTGGAAGGGGGTGCAGCCAGGCTAAGCTTGGAGCTTCCAACTCCCAGGGACATATGTCCCCACGTGGGCCAACAACTCTGCCTACAGAGGCAGGCTTTGTGGGCACAGGGACAGAGAAGGGAGACACCGACTTGCCTGGTCCACCACAGAGGTGAGGGCTGCACAGATGGCTATCTGGCCTCTCTTTATTGTCCGATGTGATGGTACGACCCATTCTGGGAAGATGAGAGCACCTCAAAGAATTCAGGAGGAAGCGAGGCTTCGATTCGGATGTTCTGGAAGGCAAGCAGGGTGGGTGAGAGGGGCTTCCGGGGTGACTCAAAAACTCAGAATTAAGGCTAGACGCTATAAGGCAGGCCAGGGTAGACCAAGAGGCCACGGGGATTAGAGGCTTTCACAAGCAGACAGGCTGGACGGAGTCCCAGGACAGAGCTCTGAGGACTCTGGCCTTGGAGCCTCCCAGGCCACGCTCCCTGCATGACCCATGACCCATGCTCCCGGGCAGCTCCCAGTCAATGAGAAGGGGACAGGAGAGCAGCAGGCAAAGACCTCCCACCTCCCCACTCCATGTCCCCAAGCCCTGCTGCTGGGACACCGTCTCCCCTCCAGCTCTGCAGAAGGCCTGCTGCTGGGTTGAGTGTGCAGAATCACAGGCCCCAGGCATGCCGGGACAGTGTCTCCTGCACACCCACGAGCACCACAGGAAGCAGAGGACCCCTCCTCGGTCCACTCGTGTGGGGGCGCCTGTTGCTTTGAGGGTTGCTCTTCCGGCAGCCGCCTCAGGAGATAACCCCACCTCATCTCACTGGCAGGACCTGAGTGCGCACTCACTTCCGACAGGTAGACTTTGTTGCTGGACTTGTCAAACAGCTTGATGGTGATTTCGTAGGAGTGGCCCGTCTCCAGCACCCACCTGTCCCCAGGGTAGACGGTGAGCCCTAAGAATGGCAAGCACGGGAGCCTGGGCACTCAGAACTCAAGGGCGGCGGGGCTGGACAGAAGGATGCGACCAGAGCAGAGGCCCTATGTGGCCCACCGGGAAGGCCCTGCAACGACACACCCAGCCTCCGACTTAAGGAAGGACACGCGGCTGAGGAGGGTGACAAGGAATGTCTGCCATCGGCCCCAAGTCCTGAACTCACCTCCCCAGGGCCGACTCTGAACACAGCCCGTGCTGCGGGCAAAAGCGCCTCAAACTCCAGCCTGTCCTTGGTGAGCCAGTGCTCAGAATCCACAGCGGCTCTACACCCAGTCACCGTCTCCCCCCGGAACCCTCAGTAGGTCTAACCTATGAAACCAAGCAGGTCTATGCTCTTCACAGTAGGTCTACCCTCTGAAACCTCAGTAGATCTACCTTACAAAACCCTCAGCAGGTCTATGCTCTGAGGCCACAGCGGGCATACACTCAAGTTCTCAGCGGGTATTCATGCTCAACCCACAGGAGGCCCGTGCTCTGAAGCCTGGCCCTGAGTGCCGCTTTGTGAGACAGCCCTGTCCTCCCAGGCCTCTCTGCCCTCTTCCTACTTGGGACGGCACGACACTGGCTGTCCCCTGTGACTCCCGGTGCTTTCTCACCTCCACTGCAGTGGTCAAGACGCTCCCTTGGAGAAAGTGCCCACCTTAAATAGCATCTCTTAGACTCCTCCCCTCCTCCCTGCCAAGTCACATGCCAACAGTTCACATCAGCTTAGGGCGTCCCTCTCTCACTGAGCTGACTGCTGGGCCCCAAGCCTCCAAACAGCCACCGCGAAGGTCAGGCCTGGCAAAGCCCTGGAGTAGACACCAGGAGGGGCTGAGCTCCACCACTGTATTCCGTCTTGCCTTTTGCCCTGCTGAGCCTTCCACCCACCCAGCTCAGCTCGCTCTGTCCTGTCCAGGGAAGGGCTGGGGAGCGGCCTAGGCCAGGGTACAGCTGAGTGCAGATGGCCCTTGCAGGTGGCAGAGCTGACCTGGGTATGGAGCTGCCACTGCTTCTGCCTTTTTTAAAACTCATGTAGTCACACATGAGCAGCATGTAGGAGGTCCGCACTTACCTAGGTAGCCGGGTTCCACCACGTAAATGGTGCTGTTGGGTAGCCTAGAAGCACCCTGTATGTGAAGACCTGCGTTGTTCATTAAGGGACAAGGCACAGGAAGCAAACAGACCAGCCAGCAGGCTGCAGCACAATGCAGACGCCCGAGCAGTATCAAGACATCACATGGGTGGAAGTGGAGATGAAAACGCCTCTTGGCCTAAGCATTTTTCAGAATGAAAGGCCACTCTACACTTCCCACACTCACAAAGAGGAAGCTCCCCAAAGGACACCAGAGACCACATAGGACACACTGACGAGTCTGGGGCATCAACAACCCATATGCTGGTATGGAAACAGCCTCTGCCAGGCCCCACTGACAGGTACTGAAGGCAAGGAATGACACTCAGATCCTGCCATCACCCCTGTCCCTGGGAGCTCTCAGGTGAGTCAACCGCTAAGAGGAGCAATTACACTCAGTGGGGGTGCTACTTTGGGTCTTTCCCATTTTCAGATCGTTGAGGGGACATGGCTATTTTTAGCCTTGCCTGGCTTTTAGGGAGAAAACGACATGACTTCAAAACTGCAGACCTGCCATATGTGCACACATACACATACTCTCTTGCATGCACACAGGCCCAAGAAGAGGATACTCCTGTGGCTGAGGACGAGGCTGATCTGTCCCAGCTGCAGTGCAGTGACCATCGACGTGTCCTGGGTCAAGATAGCCATGAGCCTCGCTGGGTCCCCTTTAGGGCCTGGGGTGCTGTTCTGAAGCTGCAGCTCATACTGGTCGGAAGGCATTGACAGTTCTGGCCACACAGACACAGAAAGGAGCAAAGGCGGACAGAGGGAGCAAGAACAGGAAATGTTACCCCAAATCTCTGCACCCCGCTGTCAGTACAGCTACTCAATTTGGTTGGGCTTGTTTTTCAGTGCTTTAAATTTTAACATTATTCTCCAGCCTGTGGTCAAAGCTGATGCTCCATGAATTTTCAGAGGCAATTTGTTTTCTTGGGACTGCTGAAAGCTGCTTTAAGAAAACAAAAACTCCACAGCCTGTGGCTAAAATTGCTAACTGCTTAAAGAATACTGACATCAGAGCATCTCTGAAGATCACAGAAGCAACCAAACCCCTTGCATCTGCATACAAGAGGCTGAAAGGCAGGGTTCTCGCTGGTTCTGTCCAGCCGCTAGGGGTTTCCAAAAAGGCTCTGGTCAATGGTCACCCACAGGGCCTCACGAGCTGGGTCTCTAATGGCAAAAAATGAACCCTGTTGCTGTCCTCACACCCCTCAGGGTGTCCCTGCTGGGTCCCATCTGAGCCAGGGTGGAGAACCATTTCCCCAGAAAAGAAGAGTTCTACAAAGCCCACCATGTCTGTGTCCTTCTCTTTGCCCTGTGGGCAGAGACTACAGGCACTGTTGACACTCAGGGATTGAGATGCGTCAGGACCATGCCAGGGATCTCACGACCCTTCTTCATCTTCCCTCAACAGCCCTGGGAATAGGGACTCTGACGCCATTTTAGAGACGAGAGGTTGAGGATCCCACACGAGCAGCTTGCTCGCCGTCCCAAGCGCCTTAGGAGCAGAGCTGGGATTCCCACCCCACCAGCCTCTCCACTTTCACGTTCCTGAACCCCTGGAGTGCCTCACCAGTCACCCTCAGTATCCCCGGAGGTGGGCCATAGGCTAGCCCCCGAATGAGAGAGTACAGCAATGCTCCTGCTTACCCTCCTCTCGGGGTCCCAGCTCAGGACCTGGCACAGAGGGTGCCCGGGCCAAGGCTCCGGAGGACTTTCAGCTAAAACCTGCTTCCGAATTTCAGATGGGAATTCTGAAAAGGAGCCTTTTTAGAAGATGAAAATACTTATCCTTAAGGGGTCTTACATAACACAGAGGAAACCCTCTTGGCAAAACCCTAAGACAGAAAATAAGGAGCTTTTTTGAGAGACTTCGATCCCCCACTTTTTTTGAGAGATAGATTCTTGCTGTTTTCCAGGCTGGAGTGTAGTGGTTATCCATAGGCACGGTCATTGCACGCTGCAGCCTCAACCTCCACCGTGCCCAGTCCTAGGTGCCTCTATACCAGGGACCTCCCTCCTCATGAGACAATGAACGTGGAAGGCCTGGCGGACGGTAAGGGATGCGATCACCGCCCAGTTCCTGGCTCTGCTCACGCCGGTCACACCCAGGAAGGGTCCCTGGGGCCCAGAACATCCCTGCTGTAGCCTGCAGGGTGCACAGCGGTCCTGTGGGTTGAGAGGCCCAGGTTCTTCTGGAAGACACACCCTATGCCCCCTGGTGGCCCAGGCTGGTCCCCCGGATGTGCTTCTGTCAATGTCCCCCGTGACTCTCCACCCCTAGCAAGCTCTAGAGATGGCCGTGGATCTCCTGGGAGGGGAGGGTTCCGAGTCAAAAATGATTGAGAGCTGACTCCTCTGCCTCTGACCCCAGCCTGTCCTTTGAGCCGCCACAGCTCAAGGGTGTGCTGGGCCCAAAGTGCCGTCGACACCTGCGTCCGTGACACCTGAACCTCAGGCCAACATATGATCAAGCCCCTGGTTTTTCCAGACCTCGTGCATTGTATTTCAGTAATGTCAGCCATTCCAACCACTCAAATTCTTTTCAGATACTGACTTTGCCAGCCGGCGTATCTTTCCCACATTCTATTCAAGTGTCTAGAACTTGGCTGCCACGGCAACCATGTCTGCAGTCAATCGACATAAGCACCAGCAGGGCTGGGACCTGAAGAGGGAGGACGCAGAGAGGCCCATGACGTCGGCCCAAAGCCCCGCCCTGCCAACAGCACAGATGCCACGCTTCAGACCCAGGAGCTCCTCTCCTGCACTCGTGGGCCTCACTTGGGGGCATTATTTGACTGACTGTCCCACCCTGCGAGGGCTGCAAGATCCAGGAATGGCGCCCAGGCAGGCCTGCTGACCGCTGCACACCCAGCACCCGGCAAAGTGCTGGCTGAGAGTGGGTACTTCAGAAGTGTGTTTACAAGAAAGGGAGCCGTCAAACAGAAGACGGACAAAAAGGGAATAAAAATATGAAAGAAGAAACATCTTATTCTCAAGGAAGGAAGACCTAAAGAAAAGAAACGCAGAGAATTAATTTGGGGTTACCATTATCCTGCATGTCTACATGTGATTAAGTACACTAACAGTCACCCAACCCAGATGCTCAGTGTCTTCCACAGGATGCCAGGCAGGACAGGGGCTTTCGAAATTCAATTCCCTGTGCTGATACCACTCCCCGACGTTACGGTCTAGTCAAGCTGGTAAAAATGACACAGCGATGTGAATTTTATCTCCATTAAAAAACCTATCCAGCCAGGTGCAGAGGCATGCACTTGGACTCTCAGCTACTCAGGAGGCTGAGACAGGAGAATTGCTTGAACCCACGAGTTCAAGACCAGTCTGGGCAACACAGCAAGACCTCGCCGCCACAAAAATAAAAATAGCCAGGTGTGGTGGCGTGTGCCTGCAGTCCTAGCGACTCGAGAGGCGGAGGCAGGAGAACCACGTGAGCCCAGGAGGCTGAGGCTGAGTGGCCAATGACAGTGGCACTGCACTCGTCTGGGGGCAGAGTGAGGCTCCATCTCTGAAAACAAATAAAACAAAATCCACGTCAAAGTGAACAATCCACTGGAGTCTTGGTCGTGGGGAACCTTCGCTGCCTTGGCCCCCAGTTTTCCCAGAGGATCCATCCACTTCAGCGTTGGGGCAGCCAGTGCCATCGGTCACAGGAATGGCTCTTTTTGGACGACTTTTCATCTCGCCACTCCACTGACAGAAGGGAGGCAACTCGCCTCTTTCTGGTTCTGAGGTCTGTCACGTGTGCCGGTTCCCTGACTTCTATGGCAGGCAGGTCAGAGACCAAACCTGCAAGTCTATTAGGTGCCCCCTGGGAGGGGTTGCTCCTTTGGGCCATGACGGCTGAATGAATGTTGAGTGGGCGCTTTATAAACTCAGCCTGCCCCCTCTTATCCGTGCTGCCCTGGCCATCCGGTAGGGGCACCGTCTTGCCCCAGGAGCCCCACGCCAAGGGACTATCTCCACTGCGTTCCTAGGAGAAATGCAAGGCCCTGTGTGTTACCCTTAGCATTTTCCTGGGGTTCCTTTGGGAAGACGGAGAGCAGAGGACATTCCACTTGCTTCTGGAGGGCAACTGATGCCAAAGAGCTCGACGGCCTTGTGGCCTTCAGATTTTCTACGCCTCAGTGTCCTCAGCTATTCACAAAAGCCTCCTTTTGGAACTGCTGGGTTGAAACATGGAAAACACTTAGGGTCCTGCCCAGTGCTTAGAAAGTGCCCAGTTGTGCTCAGATGCTGTCAGCAGCGGCCAGGCTTTCCAAAGCATCTTCCTCCAGGGTGCGGTGCCACTCCTTGCCAGGGTTCCTGGATGACTCTGTACTTCCTCCGTGTGCGTCCTCTGGTCTTTCGACACACCCTCCAATGCAGCGTCTCAGAACCCCACCTCGAACCCACCTCCCCCTGTGAAGTCTCAGAAAGCCACGCCTGGAACCGCCCCTCATCTTCTAGACTCTGCTTCCCTAAAGTTGAGGGTAAGCATTGATCTCCAGCCAGGACACCAAGCTCAACTTCCTACACACTTCCCACTGCCCAAGTACAGGAACTTTTCAACTTACAAGGGACTTTTCAACTTACAAGGGAGAGTATGTTTGTAAGTCCAATCTGTTTGAAGCCCAACAAGGTTAGCCTAGGTACCCAACTAACGTCAATGGGCTATAGAGCATTTTATGTATTTCACAGCTTATACTAACACCTAGTGGAGAGAAATAACACATTCAGAAGTGCAGGCAAACATCTCCAAAGTTCGTAACTTGAAGGTTCGTATGCAGGGGACATTGCACTCTGCACAACTCCATGCCTATGAATTCATTTTGCCCTCACAACCCAGGCAAGGTGGTCTTGAGGGCTGTGATGACAAACGGAGCCCAAAGACAGGCGGCAGGAAGCCCAAGTTTGCTAGCAGTCAATGGCAGATCGGGGCAAAACCCAATCCCATATGAATGACTTGCTGACTCGAAGGGACATATACCCACAAGAACTGAAAGCAGGGACTTGGACATTGGCATGCTGACAGTAGCCATAGGGTGGAGGCAACTGACCACTGACCAAGAGTCCCTCCATGGGCGAATACATAACAAAACACGGTGTATCCACACAATGGAAAATTATTCAACCTTAAAGGGGAAGGGAAATCTGACCCGTTGCACCATGGATACAGCTCAAGAACACTGTGCTAAGTGAAATACGCCAGTCACAAGAACAACAGTCTGTCTGCACTTACATGAGGAACTCAGTATCCAAATTCATGGAGACGGGGATAGTAGAATGGTGAGTGTCAGGGGCTGGGGGGAGGGGAAGTGGGAGCTGGTGTTTAACGAGGACAGAACCTCACTTTGGGAAGATGAAAAAGTTCTGGAGGTGGATGGTGGAGACGGTTACACAACACTGTGAATGTGCTTACTGTCACTGAAGTGGACACTTAAAATGATTAACATGCTCCATTTTAGGTTGTATATATCTCACCACAATAAAAAGGGGGAGGGGAAGATCTGTCACG